TGAGTTCTTAATTTCTATGTCCCAGGCTTATGCTAATCACTTTATCTCATTTAATCCTCATAAACAACCAACTGAAGTAGGTAGTATTAACTCTAGCAGAGAGAGTAAGTAGTAAGTCTTCATCACAGTTGTAAATAACAGAGCCAGTTTCAAAACCATCTCCTCTGTGGTCAGACTCTACTCCTAACCACTGTTGGAACTGCCTTTAAAATTTTACACATTAAGTATACAACTAGCAATATTTTTGCCAGGACAAAATAAAAATTTTGTCCATTGATAGAGTATAAAATACCAATATTAGTTTATTATTTTAATAATATATGTGACACTAAAACTGAAAAAGGTTTCATCTTGTGTTCGCTTTCTGGTGTCTGTGGTTATTCTTGGAGCCTTGCTTTCCATAAAATGAGGAAGCTAACCTCATTGTAATTTGGATATTCTCTGTAAAGACTCTACTTTTGGTGTGTAAATGCAATCTGAGAATGATATTGGTATTTATAAAAAACATTATACTCTTAAATCTATTCAAGGTAAAAGGGTTAAGAAATATTTTGGTCAAAATGAGAATTCAGAATAGGAGCATTATTGTAGGGCATTATTTTTTCTCATTAGTAAACCCTCTTCATAGTCTTCCTCCCTAGTTTCCTGCTCCATCAGTTTCTTTTCATAAGCATTAATCTGCTTTCCCAATCCCCTTAGTCCCTGACACTGACTTACCCCATTTTGGTTTGGTATGCCACCAATTTTTCTCATGAATGTTTCTTTTTTTCCCAACTACACTCTTTGATACCCTTTTAAATTCAATTTTGCACTACTACATACCTGCCCTTCTCCCTTTATAAAAACTTGGCCTGTCCATTTGACATTTGTTGTTCCTTGCTTCCTTTATTCCTAGAATTCATGCCTCTTGCTATGAACCCAAAAGAGGAGGTAGAAGGAGTGCACAAGAGCTAAGTCTTCTAGAATCACTGTACTCAAACTTTATTGTGCCTCCTGAATCCCTGGAGATCTTGTTAAAAAGCAGATTCTGATCAGAAGTTCTGGGCTGGGACTAAAATTCTGCAGTTCTTCCAAGTTCCCAGGTGATGCTGATGCTGCTGATGTTGGTGTAAGGACCACAGTATAAGTTAGCACTACCGTAGAATGTCTTAAGCCAGAGGGAAGTACAGCAGGTCCTTGAATAATGTCGTTTCAACATTGATGAGATGCTGTAGGCACCTAACTCTTGTTTGCATCAATTAGCCTATGGTAAAATTGCTATTGATGCATATTGTTTTGCTAAAAGTTGCAGAACCTATTGACAGTGTTAAGTGAGGACTTATAGTTAGAAAAAATATTGCCTTAAAGGAAACTCTTAAATGAAGATATTATAATAGCTCCCTAGCCCCTTCCACCCATGTGAAGACAGCCATCTATAAAGTAGGCCTTCACAATATGTCTTGATCTTGGACTGCTTCGATCTACCCTGATCTTAAACTTGTCAGCCTTCAGTACTGTGAGAATTAAATCTTTGTTGTTTATAAGCCACCCAGTCTATGGTATTCTGTTATAGCAGTGTGAACAGACTTAAGACTAGTTTGAGTAGGAAGAGATGGACATGAGACAGACATCTGAAAAGAATGCCTTTGGAGTTTGTAGTATTGCTAGACCCCTCTTAGGACTTTTTGAAAATTGTGGTAAAATATACATGACATAACATTTACCATTTTAACCATTTTGAAAGTACACAATTTTGTGGCATTAAATACAGTCACATCTTTTATGACTTTTTAAATAGACTTCATTTTTTTAATAGCAGTTTAAAGCTTCACAGCAAAATGGAGCAAAAAGTACAGCGAGTTTCCACATACCCCTCACCTCGCACATGTATAACCTCCCTTCACTAGAGTGGTGCATTTGTTACCATCGATGAGCCAACACTGACACATCTTTACCGCTCAAAGTCCATAGTTTATATTAGGGTTCACTGTTGGTGTTACATATTCTGGAGATTTTGACAAATGTATGGTGACATGTTTTAGTATCATACAGAATACTCAAAAAATCTTTGTGCTCTGTCTCTTCATCTCTTCCCTCCCCCAACCTCTGTCAACCACTGGTTTTTTTTACTACCTCCATAGTTTTACGTTTTCCAGAATGTCATATAGTTGGAATCATACAGCATGTAGTCTTTTCAGATTGGCTTCTTTTTCTTAGTAATATACATTTAAAGTTCCTCAATGTCTTTTCGTGACTTGATAGCTCATTTCTTGTTAGCACAGAATAATATCCCATTGTTTGAATGTACCATACCTGCCGAAGGATATCTTGGTTGCTTCCAAGTTTTGGCAATTATGAATAAAGCTGCTGTAAACATCCATGTACAGGTTATTGTGTGGACAGAGGGTTCCAATTCATTGGGTAAATATCAAGGAACATGATTGCTAGATCATATTATAAGGGTTCTTTTAGTTTTTAAAGAAACTGCTAAACTGTCTTACAAAGTGACTCCAATATGCATCCCCACCAGCAATGAATGAGTTTCTTGTTCCACATCCTTGCTAGCATTTGGTATTGTCAGTTTTCTGAATTTTGGTCACTTTAATAGATATGTAGTGATATCTCATTATTTAAATTACAATCTCTAGTTACATTTGATGTTGAGCATCGTTTCATATGCTTATTTGCCATCTCTACATCTTTTTTGGTGATGTGTCTGTTTAGATCTTTTGCCCAATATTTAATCAGGTTGTTTGTTTTGTTACTGTTCAGTTTTTTTGTATATTTTGGATAAGAGTCCTTTTTCAATCTTTTGCAAAATTTTTTCTCAGTCTGTGTTTTTTTTTTCTTTCGACAGTGTCTTTTGCAAAGCAGAAGTTTTTAATTTTAATAAAGTCCAGCTTATCAGTTATATTTTCATAAATCTGGTGTTATATCTAAAAAGTTATCGCCAAACCCAAGGTCATCAGGATTTTCTACATTATCTTCCAGGAATTTTATAGTTTCGCATTTTACATTTAGACCTGTGATCCATTTCGAGTTAATTTTTGTGAAGGGTGTGAGGTCTGGGTCTATATTCATTATTTCGCATGTAGATGCCCAGTTGTTCCTACACCATTTTTTTGAAAAAGATTATCTAGATTACTTTCCTCTATTGCATTGCCCTTGCTCCTTTGTCAAAGATCAGTTGACTGTATTTGTGTGGTTCTGTTTCTGGGCTCTATATTCTGTTCCACTGATCTATTTGTCTATACTTTTGCCAGTACCACACTGTCTTGATTATTTTAGCTTTACAGTAAGTCTTGAAGTTGGATAATGTCAGTCCTCCAACCTTGTTCTTTTTCAATATTGCATTGGCTATTCTTGGTCTTTTGTCTCTCCATATAAAAATAAAGTTCAGAATCAGTTTGTTGATATCCACAAAATAGCTTGCTGGAGTTTGATTGGGTTTGCTTTGAATCTATAGATCAAATTGGGAGAACTGACATTTTGAAAGTATTGAATCTTCCTATCCATGAACATGAAATTCCTCTCCACTTATTTAGTTTTTCTTTGATTTTGTTCATCAGAGTTTTGTAGTTTTCCTCATATAGACCTTATATGTATTTCATTTAGATTTATAACTAAGTATTTTGTTTTTGAGGGGTACTAATGTAAATGACATGTCTTAAATTTCAAATTCCAGTTGTTTATTGCTGCTATATAGAAAAACAGTTGTGTTTTATATATTAACTTTGTATCCTGAAACCTTGCTATGCTTATTAGTTCCAGGAGTTTTTTTGTCTGTTGTTTTGGATTTTCTACATAATCATGCCATCTGTGAATAAAAATATTTTATTTCTTCCTTGTCAATCTGTAGGTTTCTTTGGATAAACACCCAGAAGTGGAATTGCTGGGTCTCATGTTATAGCCTTTGTTTTAAAGTCCCTTTTGTCTGGTGTAAGTGTTACTACCCCACCTTTTGTTTCTTTGTTTGTTTGTTTTCATTTTCATGAAATATCTTTTCCATCCTTTACCTTCAGTCTGTGTGTGTCTTTCAATATGAAATGAGTCTGAAAATGAGTCAATCTGAAGTAGGCAGCATATGTGAGGATCTTGTTTTCTTACCCATTCAGCCATGCCATGTCTTTTAATTAGAAAGAACATTTAACCCATTTACATTTAAAGTAATTGTTGATAGATATGTAGTTATTGCCATTTTATTATTCATACTTTTTATCTTTTTCTTCTTATAAAACTCCCTTTAACATTTCTTATAATATTGGTTTGGTGATGATAAACTCCTTTAGCTTTTTCTTGTCTGGGATATAGTTGGGCAATTTTTGTCTGTTATGATAGTATCTTTAGTTGTGACCTAAGAAAATAGATTAACAATTTTTAAAATTGCGTATTTTGTGTTTTAGCACAATATAATGTACCTTTCTTGTTAAAAGGTTTTCACCCTCAAATAGGCAAGTTAGGCAATGGTACGTTAAAAGATGTAAAGTATATGCAATTCATTCAATGCAATTTTTAAATTTATTTTAAACAGAAAATGTATTATTTGTAGTATTTAAAAATTCTGATTTTATTTCTGCTTGCTATATAAATTATAACCTTTAGCATTTAGGATTTTTTTTCACTTGTTCCCCATCTGACAAAGGATTCTACAATACATTAAAGATGGTGTTGGTACCTCTATAAAACAGTCAGAAATCAAGCAATTTTATTAGGATTTAGGAGATGATGTCGATAGGCCTTATTTCACTTCTTGCCACCAAGACTTTGATAGTTGAGTTAGATAAATGATCATTAAGAACCACGAAGGAGTATGACAGAAGTAATAAAAAGAATTCAGTATTGAAAGTGAAGTAAAAGGGAAGGATGAGAGTTTTTTCTCTCCAAAAAGCTTTTGTGTTTTACCTAAAGGCACTATTGTAATCACAACAAAAGCATTTTTTTTTGAGATGAGGATAATATTTTGAAACTACTTTTTATGTTGTACAACATTCCTCTGATCAAAATTTGTTTGACTGTTGTAGCCTGACACTGAGCTAGCCTCTAAAGATGCAGAAATGAATAAGATATGATCCATATTTGTTCTTGGGAGAGCAAAACAAGCAAGCCTGTGATTCCACAATACAAACAATAAGGTATTATTTTTCTCAAATGTATTCCTTTTCTATGCACATAGAAAAGAGTAGCTCCTTAGAGTCATAATTAAATAGTTGCTTTAATAAAGTGTGTGCATGTGTGTGTGTGTGTGTGTGTGTGTGTGTGTGTGTGTGTGTGTCTCCTCTGCACTCAATAACCTGAAGAGGTTTTTTTTGCCTTCCTACAGTTTATTGTTTTGTTCTTTTCTCTTTTATCAATCAAGTATTGAACATCTTCTGTTTTCTAGATCTTGGAAACGCAAGCTGACTTAAGGAAGATTTTTGCCTCCTAGGAACGCTCATTTAAACATAGATGCGTACAGTACAGAAGAGTGTAATTGTTAGTATTTAGGTAGATGCATACACAGGTCAAAGTTGTGGGCACCAATGAATAGATGTTTACATCTGCCTAGAAGATTCAGTAACGCTACAGGAAAGAGGTAATGCATGAGTCTAGTCTTGAGCAATTAAGTATTCCCTGTGAAGATAAGTAAGGGAAAGGCGTTCTAGAGAGAGAACAGCATGTGAAAAGGCAGGACTGTAAAACAAGGTGTGTTCAGAGTGATTAGAGGGTAAAAGTAGAAAGAGTGTAGTGAGAAATGAGGCTAGGATACGCAGGGCGGGACTAAATCCTGAAGAACCTGGTATATTATGTTTGGACTTTATTCTCACAGCAAGGAGCCATTGAAGGGTATGTGTTTTGTTTTGTTTTGTTTTTGCAGGAGAATGACATTACTAGATTCAAAATTTTGATAATATTCTTAAAGCTGTGCTGTGGGATGGATTGGTCGGAATGGTTATATAGATAGAGTGGCACGGAGAAACTGTTAGACTAAAGACAAAGTCTAGTCCAACCAAGTGAGAGATGACTGGGGTTTGAATTAAAGCAGTGGAAGTTAGAATAGAAAAGGAAGCTTAGAATATGAGAGATGTTAATGAGATAGAACTAGTAAGGATAATCTATTGCAGCGGTTCTCAACCTTCCTAATGCCGCGACCCCTTAATACAGTTCCTCATGTTGTGGTGACCCCCAACCATAAAATTATTTTCGTTGCTACTCTATANGGGTCGCGACCCACAGGTTGAGAACCGCTGATCTATTGGATACAGATAAGAACTGTCATGATAGGGCAGAATAGAAGATGATGCCTAGATTTAAAGAGGAAATATAATGAGCTTAGTTTTGGACATACTGAACTTGAGGAATCTTACAGAACTTTCAAATACAGATGTCTAGGAGACAGTTGCAAATATGCATCTGCAACTTAGGAGACAGATTTGAGCTGGAATTAAGAATTCTTAGTTATTCAACAGATATATGTTGAGCATGTTCTTATGTGCCAGGCATGTACCAGGCACCCAGCATACTATTGGGTTGTTGGAAAAGTCACATTTTTGCAATGAAAACCAGAAAAAATATATCATGACTTTTCTGACAACCCAATATGAGGAGCAAAATACACAATTCCTGCTTTATAATTAATAAAGGAGAAGAACAGAAATCAATCACGAGGATATATTATTTAAAACTGAGACAAATGCTATCAAGAAAAAACCATAGGTGCTATTTTAACAGAAGGCACTGATTTAGTCTGGGACTAGAGATGAGGGATGCTCACATTTGAGCTGCAATCTGAAGAACAGGCAGGAGTAGAGAAGAGAGGCAGTGTGGATAGCAGGAATATGAGTATCCTGGGCAGAAGGCACATCAGCATCATACTAATGAAGTACTTAAAGTTTATCAAACTGGATTGAAAAAATAATAAATGAAAAAGAAACACATAACTGTATGTTAGGATGTGACATGTCTAAAACATAAGGATACAACAAGGTTGAAAGGAAAAGGATGGGAAAAGCTAATCATGAAAACAAAAACTAAAAGAAAGGTGGTATAGCTGTATTAATTTCAAACAAAATAGACTTTTAAGCAAAAAACCATATTACTAGAAATAAAGAGGGAACTTTATCATGATAAATGTACTTAATACGATAGTCTCAAAATATGTAAGTCGTATGGAGAAGTTGACAAATCTGTAATCTTAGTGGGAGATCTTCACACTTATCTCTGATAGAACCAGATGACAAAAAAATCAGTAAGGCTATAGAAGATTTGGGTACAATTAGCAAATCTAACTAATGGACATATGTAAAACACTGCAACCAACAACAACAAAATATACATTCTTTATATATAATTGACTATGCTGGGCAGTAAGATAAGTATAAATACATTTTAAAGGATTGAAATTATGCAGAGTGTATTCTGTGACCACAGTACCATTAAGCTAGATATTAGTAACAAAAAGATAATTAGAAAATCTCCATATGTTTGTTAATTAAAATAATATACTTCCAAATATTCCATGGGTCAAATAAAAATCACTATGCAACTTTGAAAATATTTTGCAGTGAACAATAATAAAATGATATCAGAATTTGAGGGATACAGTTAAATATATGCTTAGAGGGAAATTTATAGCTTTAAAACCACATGCTTGAAATGAAGCTGAATATCAATAAGCTAAGCATCTGTATAAATATTTTAAAAAAACAAACATTAAACCCACAGAAGGCAGAAAAAAACAAATAGTAAATCAGCAATAATGAAATAGCAAGCAAACTTATAATACTGAAATTCAATAAAGCCAAAAATTGGTTTTCTAAAAAGACTAATAAAATTGATAAACCCTTTCTAATATAGAAAAGAAAATGCAAAATTAATCATTGTAATAAATGTAAAATACTATTTTATAGGAGAATTATAAGACAATTTGATGTCAATAAATTTGAAATATTAGATGAAGTAGATAAATTCCTAGAAAATGTAGCTTATCAAAATTCACAGAAGAAATAGAGAATCTCAAAAATTCTATCACCATTAAAGAGAATCCATAATTTTAAACCTTCCCACAAAGAAAATTTGAGGCTAAATGGTTTCATAGGTAATCTGTACCAAACATTTAAGAAAAAAATGCATATTTTACACAAATTCTTCAAAACAGTGAAAGAGGGAATATATCCCAACTTGTTTTATTAGGCCAACACAACTTGAATGCAAAGCAAACAAAAAAAACTCACAGACATTACACAAAAGGAAGATAATGGATGAATTTCTCTTATGAACGTAAATGCAAAAATTACTAAGCATAATAAACTAAAGCCAAATCTAAGAATATAAAAAAAGAAATTTCCCTATTTTGAGGTCAGCTGATTAGCAGCCTTAATTACATCTGCCATCTTAAGTTCCCTTTGCCATGTAATATGACATATTTACAGATCCTGGGGACTAGAAAATGGATATCTTTGGAAGGCCATTATTCTGCCTACCACATACATTTCAGCCAAGCTGGGTTTATTCCACAGATGCGAAGTTAACATAAAAAGAAAACCAATGTAGCTCACCAGGTTAACAATAAAAGCAGAAAGTTACATGATCCTCATAATAGAGGCAAATTATTTGCTTAAATCAGTGACTTGATGAAAACATCATTCATGATTTTAAAAATACTAGCAAACTAGAAATATATAGGAACTTCCTTAATTTATTAAAAGGTGTCTATAAAACAAAGGAACAGTAACTGAACACTGTATAGCAGACATCTTGTGAAATGTTGAAGGGTTTCCCTTTGGTTCAGGAAAAAGACAAGAATGCTTGTTATTGCCTCTATTTCACATTGTATATTAAAGGTTCTAGCTAGTATGATGAGGCAAAATAAATAAATAAATAATAGAAAGGAGGAGATAATCCTTATTCATATAGATTATGTACATTTAAAAAATCCAAAATAGTTACAGATAAATTAGTAGAGATTAGGAAAGTCTCTGGATGTAGGGTCAATGTTTAAAAAAATCTGTTTTTGTATAAGCAATAAAATAAAACATGCCTTTCTAGCATCATCAAAAGATTATCACATACATGCCAATAAATTTAATAAAGGAGTATAAGACTTCTATTCTTAAAACTGTAAAACATTAAGAGACATTTTTTAAAACCTGAAATAATTAGAGGGATACATTATGTTCATGGATTGGAAGATAACAGTGTTGTATAGAATCAGTACTCCCCAATGTGATCTGTAGATTAAGTACAGTTCCAATCAAATTTCCAAAAGGTGTGTGTGTGTGTGTGTGTGTGTGTGTGTGTGTGTGTAACTTGATAATCTGATTCTAAAATTCACATGGAAATACAAAGGACCAAGAATGAATAGGACTTTTTTGAAGAACCAGGTAGGGGGGCTTGCCCTATTGGATATCAAGACTTACTATAAAGTTCCATTAAGATAGTGTCATTAGCTCTAGGTAGACAGACCAGTGGAATAATACAGAACCCCAAAATGGAGAATATCCTTGATTTATGACAAAAGTGCCATTGTAGATAGAGCAAAGGGGAAAGAATGGTCTTTTCAATAAATGGTACTGAAATATATTTAAAAAGTTGACCACCGCCTCATACCATTCACAAAAATTAATTCCACATCAAAGATTAAAAGTGCAAGGCAAAACAAAGCAGAAATAATATAGAAGATCATATATATGGTCTTATTGTAGAAAATGTATTTTAAAACCTGTGCTTTCATATTAAACGGAAAAGGAAAATATTGATAAACTCCACCATATTGAGTGTAAAAACCTATTCATTAAAAGACATCAAGAGAGTGAAGTAAAATGGCAAGTGATACAAGAGAAGATATTTGCATCACACATAACCTTCTGTTGGCTAATCCAGTATTCCCACAGATCAGCCCTAATACAATAAATGATAAATGGAAAGTGAATAACAGAATTGAATAGTCATTTCTCAAAAGAGAAAAACCCAAAAGATCAATCAACATGTGAAAAGGTGCTTAAGCTCATTAGTAATTTGGGGAAGCACAAAACTACAATAATTTATCACAACAGACTTAGAAGAAGAACTAGAATATAAAAACAGGCAGTATCAAGTGTTATGAGCATGCAGAGCTGCAGCAGCCTGTAACACAGCCGAAAGGAGTTAGGGTGGTACAGCCACTTTTGGAACAGTTTGACATCATTCATAATAGCCTCAAAATGGAAACTCACATATCAACGTTAGAATGAGTAAATAAGTTGTGTAATCATACAGTGGAATATTATACAGCAATAAAAATGGAACATCTTACATCTGCATTAAGCAGCCTGAATGAATGGTACAAATACAATGTTGAATGAAAAGAGCAGGACAAAATACATATCATTGATTTCATTTACATAAACTTCAAAAAGCAATCAAAGCTAGAGTGTTTAGAGTACCTGATTATGTGGTAAAAGTATAAAGAAAAACAAGGAAATGCTTGTAAAAGTCAGAATAATGGTTACGTTTGGGGAGGAGGGAAGCAAGGGGTAATTGTGGAGGGGACCAGAGTGTGAGGTTTCTGGGGTCTAGGCAATGTTTTATTTCTTACGGGGGGTTATGAGTGTTTGCTTAAATCATTGAACTGTGCAGTTTTGTATACTTTTTTGTGTTTCATATTGAACAATTTTTAAAAGGTTTTAAAAATGTAGAGAATGCTGAGCAGTTCCAAGGAGACAAATTTCACACAAAAGCTTGTTTCTAAAGAATGTTCCTAAGTAACACTTCAGGGCAATTAGATTTATCTGAAACTTTTCATTTGATAGTCTTTAAAGCTCAGTAAATAACAAATCCCTTTAGTAACCATTGTTGCCAGTAGGAAAGTATAGGCAGTTCTCATTTTGTATGATAGTGTGGGACCAAAAATAATGACCATACAAATTAAAACTGTACAAAACTGTCTTAGTAATCAATGGGGAAAACAACAATTGTTCCATGATCTTTGAAAAAATTGTCAAAACACAAAAATTATTCTATGTCAGTTATAAATGTATACAGGAAAAAATAGTAAAACAGTATAGTGTAATATAAAACATTAGAAACAGAATTAAAGTGTTTTATGTCTTTGTAAAAAACTTATCAAGAGTAGTTTGAATAGTGCTTTGCCTTCTTGTATAACTTCTAATAGCACAGCTATCAGAGTGAGCATCTTTTCTGTTCCTTGGCAAATTGTCTTACTCCTTTTACTAAATTTAGATCAGCTTTCAACATTTTATTCTTTGCACTTTTAATGTGGTGAAATAGCTCTGAGTTCTTTTTAGTGTGAAGTGTTTTGCTGGCATCACTCCTTCTGGGACATCTTTTAGTCAGAACCACTTTCCTCATTATGTCAATAAGTTTGTTTTCACTAATTCCTTTGACTGCATATCTAGAGTCTCTCAAACAGTGGCAGTGGTAACATTCCCAACAATCACTTATTTCTTCTGTTACTCCGCTTACATTCAATTTGAATTTCATTATCATTTTTTTAGCATTATTCTTTTTGTTTCTTTGCAACACTTTTATCTTTGTTGGCCAGTTCCCTCTTTCAGTTACCCATTTTGTAAAATTTCATGTGGGTTTATCACTGGGAGGCAAGAAAGTGACCTAGCTATATGCTTTGCTGTCTATAGGCGAAATGAATAGCAGATAAAGAGTGACCAGTCACGAACCTACTTTGAAAAAAAGTGACATGATTAGTCACTGATCATATTAACATAGTGATGTGTGGACTGAAGTGCTAGCAAAAAAGTTTGTGTTTATGCAGTTGCTGACAGTTAATATATTGTACTGAGTGAAATTGGAACCATGTTGTTGGGGGACTTGTGTTACTTAACTGTGATAGTTGGAATTTGTATATATGGGAAGCCTAGGAAGTTAGGACTGACTGTAATTCAAAGAAGGTTGAACTCTTTGATCAATTAAATAAAGATTTGGTTTGTTTCTATGAGGTTGAGGATGTAGAGGTACTTGAACTATTTGATCTCTGGGCTGTTGAATGCCTGATACATTTTATGCGGAAATGTAAATTTGATACTACTCTTCCAGCTTCTTTAATCCTGTTAGGCACTTATTTAGAGAGGACCTTTCACACCAACTATAGAACAAAACCCCTAGTTGTAGTAAGTAAAAACAATGGTTTTAGGAGAATAACAGTGATGGTGATTATGAAATCACCACGAAGCAACTGACATTGAAAGTAAGGGTTTTGTTTTCAATGTTTTATATAATGTTGACATTATAATGATTAAAGATGAAAGAAGGTTAAATCAATTTTGATTCATTTAGTCAGGTGATTTAATTTTCATTGTCTTATACTAGCAAATATTTTATTAAATGTGAAAGGTAAGGTCTCATTGTGTTGGTTGAAATCGAATAATGCTAATTTATTGTTTGGTTTTCTGCAGGTGAACTGGCACAGAGGTTGAGGTCAAGATGCCATTAGTGAAAAGAAACATTGATCCTAGGCACTTGTGCCACACAGCACTGCCTAGAGGCATCAAGAATGAACTGGAATGTGTAACCAATATTTCCTTGGCAAATATAATTAGACAACTAAGTAGCCTAAGTAAGTATTTTCATCTCAATTAAAAGTATTACTCCCAAACCAGAATGTTATACTTTAGAATATTAAGATGTTCTTGGTTATTAATATGGTGGGTGGGGGAGGGAAGGGGATATTTGGTGAGAATATAAAATTATTCTGAAAATTCATTTTAAGTATTAATAAAATTAATCAGTGAGTTTTAGAATCATTTCTTTTTCCCTTGTGTGTTTCCTCTGGGAAAGGGAAATAAGGACAGAATCTTAGGAACAGAATTACATGATAAGAATTGCTGAGATTGTTTTTAAAATAAGATTTGATCTGTGAGAGATCGAGTCAGCATTATACTTTTATTTGCTTGTTATTATTTACCTTTTAGAGGCTTTATTTGTATTTTGGGACACTACTATCTCTCTCTACATATATTTTATTAACCTAGGAAAATATTTTTATATTAATAAATATCTAAAAATGAAGGGTGTGGGGTAGTCACTAGTCAGAATTAGGTTAGTCAAATGAGTTGTCTAAGGGACATTAGGATATCAGTGAAGAGTCTCATACGCAGCCTGATGTGAAAGCAGCACGTGAACCTGGCCTACGACAGACAAAAGGCAAGCAGGTTGGCCAGGTAACAAATAAAAGGCAATGGAAGGGGCATGTACAGGCGGAGGAGACAGGCTGTGTGTTCCCATTATGAGATTACAGAACAGAGCTGCTAAGTTAAGGAAGTAAATTTAGAATAATGGGAAATAATTTATTTAATGTTGAAAATAAAAAATTCAGGATTATGTTTTTAATAAGACATTTATATTTCATTTTAAAGAGAAATCAAGATGTTCTTGTCCTAGCTATATTCTCTAAATGGTCTTAGATTTATCTTTTCATCTATACCCTCCTACATAGATTGTCTTTACAAACAGAATTGGTTCTTTTTCTTTTAACTTTTGTCCTTTTTATAATTGAGTACTTAGCACAAGATAAAGAGAGAGGCTGTTAATCTAATTTGTTTTAAGTGAGAGCATTTGGACATACACTTACTTATATATAGCTAGAGCAACATAAAAAGTTACATTTGAATGTTTGTGGTGAGAGCACTAAATTTCTACACTGCCTGTGAAATAAGTTGTAAGAATAAATTAAAAGGCAGTTTATTTGAATTTAAGTTTATTCCTTGCCCCTTTTGGTGGTTCTTTTTTTTTTAGGTTAGTTATTGGCAGTGAATCACTAACATATTATTTTTTACTTGTATCTTCCTTGGGAAAGTCAGTATAGAATATAGACAAGTCAAAAGAAGAGTCCTAGTTATTGTATTAACATATGATTAACTATATTGTTTAAAGACATTTACTAACTTTTTTTTTGTGGTCTAGCACTAATTGAATCTAACATAACATGACTTTATATAGAATTCATATATGATACATGTACCCAAGTACATCAGCATGTAAATATTAAAATACGTGTGTTAAGGGCATAGAAATGACATTAATACATTTGGTTAAAATATTTCTTAAAATCAATGAATTTGGGGTTTAATACTGGCATCTTGTTTTAGGTATATACCCAATGTAGAATTGAGAACTAATAAAATAAGTAAGGGTGTTAATTTGCAGTAGAAACTCATTTCTTACATAACCTAAAGGTGAAAAGTTAATGAATTTTCAAGCCTGGTTATAGTCCACATAAGCGACACCAGCAGCAAAGCACGTAGTCATGTTGTAGTGAAACTCTGAAAATAAACTATTAAATACGTTGTAAAAATATAGCTAAATTAGGTTTTGGGTGCTTCAGATTTGGCATCAGAGACTATATAGGCATTTTGTAAACAGTTTGTAGAGATTCAGAAACAGAGCAAGGTGTAACAATAGTTTACCACCCTGGAATTAAGTTCTCTGGCAGCTTTCCCACTTGACAATGGAGAACCTGGAATTAAATTTAAAAGGCCCCTAGATAGCCAGAATAAACAAACCCATGCACTAAAGATGCACATAAAATAACCAATTGATCCCTCTCTCAGAACCTGTTTGCTTTTACTTTGACAGTTCATACAGGTTTGATGATCTGGTTTCCAATTATTTATGCTTCAGAGCATTAAAGGGGAGATATGGGGTAGACAACAGAAGCAGGCCTTATTGAAGCCAGCCAAAAGAGGTAGTTTACAGCCAAGGAAGAAGTTATATAAAGGAAACAGCAACATAAACACTGGAAAGAGGCCATTTAATGCAAAAGCAAATACTCTAATACATTTCAAAAATGTTTCCTAGCCTAAGACACTAATTAATTTTCATAATTAAGTCATGACTATAAATCCTCAAGAAATTATGTTCAATTTTGTATTCTACTTAAGACAAGGAAGCTTAGAATAGATTGTATATCAGTTTCCATCAAAAATAGTCAAAATAATTCATGTGTTAAATAATCTCTGGATTACTTTGAAAATTTGGCTATGCAAAATGGTCTAGGCAATGGAGATTTTCACTTTGGTACTGTCGTTAGCATCAAAAGTAGTAGCGAACACAGCAGTGAAAGTCAGCTGAAGGGATCAGCCTGGCTTGGGGCTGAACATCTTCCTGACCTCTTCCTCACAGAATTGTACATCCAGTTTTGTTTTGTTTTTCATAGTAGATCACATTTCTGTTTTATAATACAGAATTACTAAAAAAACTGAGAATTCACTTTATATAAATTCCTTCTGCTATACCAAAATTCTTTCCTATTCTGTTGTTGTCTTACTTTAACAATCATTGGAACTCTTAAGTACCTGAGGAATCTTTTATCATTCTCCCTTACCAAGGCCTTTCTCTTATTGAATATTGTCAGTTCATGCTGCCAAGATGAGCCCATAGAGCAGTGGGTCTCAACCTTCCTAATGCCGTGACCCCTTAATACAGTTCCTCATGTTGTGGTGACCCCCAACCATGAAATTATTTTCGTTGCTACTCTATAACTGTAATTTTGCTACTGTTATGAATCATAATGTAAATATCTGATATGCAGGATGTATTTTCATTGTTACAAATTGAACATAATTAAAGCATAGTGATTAATCACAAAAACAATATGTAATTATATATTGTGAAANTTCTAATTACAAATAAATGTAATTTTGTCTTGAAGCATGGAGACGGATAGAGGAGCGGTGTCTCGGTTCCTAAGACCATCGAAAATATGTGTTTTCCAATGGTCTTAGGCGACACCTGTGAAAGGGTCGATCGACCCCCAAAGGGGTTGCGACCCACAGGTTGAGAACCGCTGCCATAGAGCCTACTTCTTGTTCTCAAATGCAGAAAATTTGACAGATGGATATCAAGGTAGATTGATAGGAGGATGGATAAATAAATTGGCTTAATAAAACTAATTGGATACATAGATAGACAATGGGCAGATAACAATACTTTGTTGTGGGATAAAGAGCTCCATGGTTCTTGTCTGAAAAGAGCATACCCCATTTAGTTGAAGAATTAATATGATGAATACTGAAACCATTCTGAACAGTGTCATATACCAGCCTTTTCTTCCCCTTGGGATGTTTCCCTTATCTGCCAGAGAAACTCTGTGTCTCTGGAAGTATCTCAACACCAGGTTACACCCAAAAGTTAGGTGCTTCTTTCTCTGTGCTCTGTGGCTCTTACTTTTATTTTATTTTATTATAGTAAGAGCCTCTCATGGCTCTCATACCCTGTATCAGGCACTCTGCCGGGCCCTTTTCTCATAACTTCTTAAAGCATATGTTTTTATCCTGTCTTATAGGTGAAGAAATTGATACCAAGGTCTCAAAGCAAATGGGGCCAAGATTTGGACTTATTTATTCAGTTGCTTTTCATGTGTTTAAATGTCTGCTCAAAACTCGTGAATGACAGAGACCTTCTAATCATTTTATATTTCCAGAGTCTGGTACAATGTTTACACATAAGACATTTTTAGTCAGTTGGTGTAAAGAATATATGTAAATGAATGAATATATACAAAACTATCCTTTTTCTCTTAAGTTCTGATTGTTTTCTTAAAATCTTCTAGGATAGGACTTTTATGTTTTACTTTTTGGTGTATTTAGTAGGCCATATACCTACCTGGCACAAGGCGAGCCTCCAGTAAATTTTTGTTGGTTTAACTGATAATATATTGAAATGCTTTGAAAAAATGCAGCATCATTCAAATATAAACTGGTAAGATTAATGAGTTCATTTAGTAAGTATTTAGTACTTCTTTGTCATAGGAACTGACTTCATAGAGCGTACTATTGTGCTAGATTTAACCTAAACAGTATGATTGGTTCTAAAATGTCTTGATTTATGAATACCATTGATCTTTTTTTTAATTTAAAGGTATAGATAGTACTGTAGTTGACTCATCTTTATGTTGTAAGTATTCATTAGTTTATAAGTTCTGTATACACTTGAATACTTTTTTATTGTAGGTCTTCTGAAACTCCTTTTAGAATAGGATTATTTTGGTTTAATCTTTTCATTGATGGAAATTTACATGACTAGAGAAATACAATGATTTTAGATTTATGATTTTTTTTTTAAGAAACTGGAACAAGAGAGAATGAAAATATCTCGCATAAATTTTCAGAATTTATTTTGGGCATACCTAAAACAGGTCATCTAGTAGGCTTATGAAGAATCTTGGATTTTGCCACTTGGCTTAAAATTCAGTTCTAGTGTAGAGTCTATTTATGAATGCTGACTTGGGATTAAAAGATGTATTATTTGTATGTACTTTTATATTGTAATCTTCCCTAACCCTCAACAGGTAGGTAGATGTGGATAAAGCTAGGTGAAACACAGTTTACCTAGCAGGAAGTGGTAGAGCTAGTATTTAAAACCATGTTTCCCAGGGTTTGTGTTATTTTCTGACTCTGTCACAATTGGGTTACTTAAGGCTAGAGTTTAAAGTTTCAGTTAGTTTCCAAAAATGGCAAATTCATCAGAACAGCACTTTTAAATGTTAAATTGTTTGATATTTATCTCTGATCACATTAAATTTTATGGTATATGTTTTTTGCTTAGGTAAATATGCTGAAGATATATTTGGAGAATTATTCAATGAAGCACATAGTTTTTCCTTCAGAGTTAACTCACTACAAGAACGTGTGGACCGTTTATCTGTTAGTGTTACACAGCTTGACCCTAAAGAAGAAGAATGTAAGTTTATTCATATTATATTTCCTTTCAAATATATATTTTAGGTTAGATGAGATGAGTGAAATACTTAAGAACAATATATATTTTTTTTCTTTTGTGTGTGTGTGTTCCTTGTTTGAAACCTTACAGTTGATTAGAATGTAATGTTGATTAGAGAATAGGAACAAATGATATAGAATATTGAATAAAAAAGCTTGATAACAATGTTGAAGACAACACTTCAAACCACTGTCATTTGACAATCTCCAATTGTCGTCCTCTTAATATACTCCCATGTGATTTCACTGATGAATAACATATTAGTTTGCAAGTATTGAAATCAATCCCATTGTTCAGGTGCTTGTCATATTCTATGTCAATCTGTCTTACATGGGGTGAAAATATCTTAGGAAAACACTGCAAGAAGTTCGTTGAAACTTTGAAAGAAGTTTCAGATGGATTGTTTAACTTTACTTAAAATAATAAGATCGGTTAATTGATTTAGTTATGAATGGATTTGATATTCACTATTTTGAGATTATAAATAAAACTACACTTATAAATGAGGAGCTGTGTGCTTAAGGTGTGCATCGATTCATGTAGTAGAAACTTTGAATGCAAAATATTAAACAGGAACCAAAGTACTCATTTAAGAAAATGCTGCATTAGTGGATTGCTCATATTAAGATCCTCAAAAACAAATATTATATATATTTAACAGTTTACTCAATTTCCTGTTAATTTTGAGACTCTTTGGACAATTAAACACATACTTACAAAACCAGTTAATGTTTACTTGCTTATTTAATATCTATTTATATATTATTTATTACAAGAAATTCGCCTACACTATTGAGTGGGAGGTGGCTAAGCAAGTTCAAAGTGCATAGTTCAGGCCATCAGGAAGGAAAGATAACGAGCAGTCTGGAACACAGTCCCAGGAGGAGGCTGCTATCTACAGTGGAAATTCCAAGAACAATATTAAACACAAATTTATTACAAGTCTTTTCTACCTATGACCATGACAGCCACATACATGTTCTAATAAATCAGTAAATTACCTATAAATGCCATTAGCATGACTCTCTTGGCTTTTCTTACTCATTTTTTTTTAACCTTTTCTTTCTGTATACTAAATGACTCTTAAGTTTTTTGGGTTTTGTTTTTGTTTTTATTGGGGAATTGGGGGGATGGTAACAGCACTGGGGAATTGGGGGAAGGGGAACAGACAAGTTGCTGTCATTTTGTTCTTCAGTCTAGTTGTGGAGGACGTTGCTTCACTGGCCCAAGTTGGCACCATCATTGTGCTCTTCCCAGGCGAGGCAGATCAGTCGCCGGCTTCTGGACGGCTGCTCACGGCGGCTGCTGGCCGCTCACGCTGGCTGCTGGCTACATACGGTAGCCCATGGCAACCCACTGCCACAGGGGCTGCAGCCTACGCCGACGCTGGCAACTCACGGGCAGCCCAGCTCCAGGTTGAGCTGTTGTTCAGCATCTTAGCCGTGGAGGGCAGTGTCACTGGCCCTCATATGTGGGATCCGAACCGGGGTCCTCTGGTGTCCCAAGCCAGTTCTTAACCATCATGCCACTCGGCCAGCCCAATGACTCTTAAGTTTTTGACATAAAAATTTTTTAGCCAGACTTTTCCTCCATTCTCATTCTCTTTTCTCCCTTACAATTTATGTACTTTTGTCTTAGAAACAAAAATTATTTGAAAATTATTTGAAATTCTTAGTAAATTGAAATTGATTCTATAAGAATAATTTTTTAAATATGATTTTTCTTTTTTTTAAGATTTTATTGGGGAATTGGGGAAGGGGAACAGTGTTGGGGAATTGGGGAAGGGGAACAGCCAAGTTGTGGTCCTTCAGTCTTAGTTGTGGAGGGCACAGCTAACTCAGCTCCAAGTCCAGTTGCCATCTGGCCACCCGTTGGCAGCTTGCAGCCTCTCAGCTCAAGGTGTGATGTTCAGTCTTAGTTGCTGGTGGGCATAGCCCACCATCCCATGTGAGAATCGAACCGGCAACCTTGTTCATAGGAGCATGTGTTCTCACCAGCTGAGCCATCCTGCCACCTGTTGGCAGCTCAGCTCGGGCACAGATCACTGGCCCATGTGGGAATTGAACCGGTGACCCTGTTGCACAGAGCTCACACTCTTAACCAACTGAGCCACTCGGCCGGCCCTAATATGCTTTTGTGTTGCATATTATTAAATTGCTAACATCTGATCTAGTTATTTGAATGTTACTTCCTACTTTAAATGAACATTAAATAAATAAATCCAGGGGCCGACTGAGTGACTCAGTTGGTAAGAGCACGAGCTCTGAATAACAGGGCTGCTGGTTTGATTCCCACATGGGCCAGTAAGCTACACCGTCTACAGCTAAGATTGTGAACAAGGGCTCGACCTGGAGCTGGGCTACTGTGAGCTACCGTGAGTGGCTGGCAGCCAGCGTGAGTGTCCGGCAGCCAGGAAGAGCTGCCATGAGCCGTAGTGAGTGGCCCGTCCAATGGCCGGCAAGCAACTGCCTCAGCCGGGAAGAGTGCAATGATCATAATACCAACATGGGCCAGTGAAGCGGTGTCCTCCACAACTAGACTGAGGAACAAAAGGACAGCAACTTGGCTGTTCACCTTTCCCAGTTCCCCAACACTGTTCTCCCCCAATTCCCCAAAAAAATCTTAAAAAAAAAAATCCAAATTGCTATTATGTAGAACAAAAATGTTTTATACTGAGTGTTAAACAAGGGATATCAGGTTAAAAACAAACAAACAAAAAACCCACATTATAGGCTGAAATAATGGTAGAAACTTCAGTGGTAAAACAACATTTCATGCCTTGATAGAGTATATTGAAGATTAATGTTTCTCAAACTCCATTTTTTTAAACAAAAAGAAATGAAACTATTAAGTATATATTTTTACTCATCCTAGAGAATTATTTAATGTGAATCTTTTATAACTTCAAAAAATATTTTTTGTTGAATAACGTTTTTAGTATAAATGCAAATTGTATAATAGATATAAACTTGAACCATAAGTATATTAAAAGATATCACTGCAAAAAACAAAAAGTAGAATGTAATGATAGATGTCTTAGTATTTGAACCAACTTCTTTTGACATAACCTAATTTAAGCCTAACTAAGGAGAAGCAAATACTTACTATGCTAAGTTTCTACTGCTTGCAAAGATAAAAACTCATAGCTCTGGTTGTGGAGAAAAAGCAAAACAGCACTTTTTTAAAAAACAGTTTTGTGGTGGGGTTTTTTTTTTTTTAAGATTTTATTGTGGAATTGGGGGAGGGGAACAGTGCTGGGGAATCAGGGAAGGGGAACAGACAAGTTGCTGTCCTTTTGTTCTTCAGTCTAGTTGTGGAGGACACCACTTCACTGTCCCATGTTGGTATTATCATTGCTCTCTTCCCGGGTGAGGCAGATAGGTCGCCGGCCTCTGGATGGCCGCTCACAGCGGCTCTTGGCAGCTCATGCTGACTGCCGGCTGCTCACGCTGGCTGCCAGCCACTCATAGTAGCTTATGGCAGCCCACTGCAGCAGGGGCTGCAGCCTACACTGTCGCAGGTGACTCACGGCAGCCCAGCTCCAGGTCGAGCTGTTGTTCACTATCTTAGCTGTAGTGGGCAGTGTCACTGGCCCTCATGTGGGATCTGAACCGGGGCCCTGCTGCTCAGAGCTGGCGTCCCAAGCCAGCTCTTAACCAACGGGCCACTCGGCCGGCCCCTAAAAACAGTTTTATTGAGAAATATTTCATATTTCCTATAATTAGCCCATTTAAAGTTAAATTGTGCAATTCAGTGGATTTTAGCATATTCACAGAGTTATGCAACTATCACCACAATCAATTTTAAAACATTTCATCATTCCAAAAAGAAACGCTAAACCCATTAGCAGTCACTCTCCATCCCCCGTTTCCCTCAGCTTCTAGCAATCACTAATCTACTTTCTGTCCCTATGGATTAGCCTGTTCTGGACATTTCATATGACTGGAATCATACAATATGTGGTCTTTTGTGACTGGCTTCTTTTCACTTAGCCTAATGTTTTTAATATTAGTTTATGTTGTAAAATGTATTTGTATTTCTGTGATGACATGATGTTGAGCACCTTTTCATGGCTTATAAGTCATTTAGAGACAAGTCACCCAGTAGGAAGTGGTAGAGCTTGGATTTAAAACCAAGATTTAAATGACTTATCAGCAATTTGTGTATCTTATTTGGAAAAATGTCTGTTAGGTCTTTTTACCATTTTTAAATTGGGTTATTTTTTTTATTGTTGAGTTATCAGAATTCTCTATATATTCTGAGTCTAAGTCCTTTTTCAGATAATATGATTTGCAAATATTCTATTCTGTGGGTTTTTCTTGGCATCCTTTGAAGCATGTACATGTACATTAGGCATACTCCTTGAAATTCTTGAAGTAAAATCATTGCAAGTAATGAAAAAAATTTTTATGGCCATTCTTTCAAATATATCATTTACATCCAAAATTTCTTTTTTAAATAACTTAAACATTTAAGTTATAAATATATGCCATCTAATAATACAGAAATACACAGGTAGTTCTTATATTAACCGAAATAAAAATTAACATTTAGTTTCAAAATACTGTTACATTTTAACAAATCTCTTAGCACTCCCATTAAAATTGAAAATAAAAATACAAATACCAGTAAATAACTTAAGATGTGTTCAAGTGTTTTTAAAAAGTCCTGGTATACTAACAGCTATCAGAATTATTTATAGTTTCCTTTAAACTTTGTAGAGCATTGGGTAAGAGTTCAGAATCTAAAAGCTGAACTATTTAATTTGAAATTGTTTTAGGGATGTTGGATACAAGGAATTTTCAAAGTTACTTAACCTAAAATTTTATATTCAGTGAAAGTTCAAACAAAACAACATTATGCATACAATACTGAATTATGGAGTGGAATGTCAATATTTTTGCTTTTTAATTGCCATTTAATAGTAAGTAATGGTGAGAACTACCAATATAATTTAGAAAATATGTAAAAGATGAGTTTTAAACAAAGGCTTGTACAATTATATTTAGTTCAATTATGCTTATAAACATATTGTGCTAATTTACTGTATTATATAATACTATTTAAATAATATTGAATGTCATTGTTGGCAGCTGGAAGGAGCTTTGTCACAGTGTTCTGTTAATAAATAAGACAAATGATAAATTAGAGGTGTTGAAGATAGAAAAGTGCTTATTATTTTACATGGATTTTACACCCTAAGAAAGTTTTTAGAGAATGAATACTAGTTTCCATCTGGTTACATCATAAGATTAATAAATGGGGTGGGAGAGTGGCAAGAATGGATCCATTTTGATTATAGAAAGCAGTGGCTACTTCTGACAGGAACTGGAGGAGCAGTGTGTGGTATTGTGGGGAAAGAATCAACTTCAAGGGCAGATAGATCTGGGCTTTCTCTTCTGACTATTGCATATTAACCATTTTGCCCTGGGCCAGTTATATAATATTTTCTCGCCTTGGTATTCTTATGTTTAAAAGTGGGATAATAATTCCTATTGTTGAATTATAAAGATTAAATAAAATAAAAATTAATGAAATCATATAGCGCATTTAGTATGTACTCATTAAATATCTCTTATACTACTTTTTAGTGATAGTAAGAAAAAAACATGTCTTTTGGATTTTATTTTGGTGTTTTTTAAGTGTGAGATTGCTGGGAATGCAGTCATGGTATGATCATTGTGTAGGCAGCCTCACTGCTTCACCTGTTCCCTAGATCCAAGCGTTCATATTGAGTGAATTTTACTTGTGAGGATGATAGAGATACTATTTTAGGGAGAAGAATAATTTAAGAATTGTTATGATTGTTTAGTACTGACCTTGCTATAGTATAAAACATTTACCTGTATACTTAAAACCATATTAAATATGTAAGAAATCACCTAATTTTTTTAACTTAAAGTTTATTGGGGCTGACAACGGTTAATAAAGTTACATAGGTGTCATGTGTACAGTTCTGTAATACATCATCTATATATCACTTTGTGTGTTCACCACCCAGAGTCAGTTCTCCTTCCATCACCATATATTTGATCCCGTTTACCCTCATCTACCACCCCCATCCCCCCTTACCTCTGGAAACCACTAAATCACCTAATTTTTTAATATCAGGAAATCACTCTAAGCACTAAAAATGTAGTATTCTGGTATATTTCTTATATTGTGCTGCATAGTTCAAAAGAAAATGAGTACATGAAGTTATTTTAAATCATCATATATGTGATGGGGCTGTGCTAGTTAATAGAGGTACTAATGTACAAGACAGTCTTAGTCTTCAAGAGCTTATAACTAAGTAGAAATCCTTATGGCACAAGATAAAAGATAAGTGAAATAAGGAATACTATAGATTGCCCAGTACTGGAAAATATTTTCTTTACTGCAAAGTTTATTTTAATTTTATAGTATATGTGTAATATCAGTAGTTAATATAGTACAGAGGTCAACAGTGTGTTTAGCCCAGAATGTCACTGATAACGAAGTAATTTCCTACAGTGTTATTGGTATAAGCTAAATAAAAGTAATAAAGGGTGATAGGGAAAAGAGTGTATAGAAGAAAGGAAGAAGAGGATGTAGGTTGGGGCAGGGGGTGGGGATGGCAAGTAAAAAAAAGAAAAATGTATTTGGTAGAAAATACAGATATGCTTCAGGTGTCATTGGAGCCCTCTGATCCTTAGAAATCAGAGGTGACATTAAAGTCCATCTGATTGGGAAAATGAGGTATAAAATGCTATGGAATATAGTGATACAGCATTTAAAATATGGTTCCTGATTCATAAGCCACTACAGTCACAACCTCCTGAGCAATGCTGACTTTTAAACAAATGTAGTGTATGAATATATTCGTATATTAAATCATCTTAGTAAAAATAAACAAAATACATTTCTGATTTTTGTTTTAGTGTCTTTGCAAGATATAACAATGAGAAAAGCTTTCCGAAGTTCTACAATTCAAGATCAGCAGCTTTTTGACCGCAAGACTTTGCCTATTCCCTTGCAGGAGACATACGATGTTTGTGAACAGCCTCCACCTCTCAATATACTCACTCCTTATAGGTCAGTAGGCTAATAAGTAAGAAAGCTGGTTATTTATGTCATGCTTCAAGTTCAGATAGGCAGCGGTCTATCTTTAAATGCTAAATCCCCAACATTCTTTAGTTCACTGGACTTTTGACCTACACAGAGAATGCTTCTTATCCATGACCTTTAGAAACCGTTTGCTTTATCCAGTAGGTGAGCTCCTAAAGCTCTGGAGTAGAAAAGACAAGACTATCTCAAGGGAATTGTTTGGACAAGTATTAACAAGAAAAGTTAGTGGCAAACTTATTACTACAAAGGGCCAAAGAGTTGTTATTGTCTTTTTAATTTAATTTCTAATCAGATGGAAAATAAAAAAGAAAGAGCTCAAAATTTCACCACACTAACAAAAATAAATATTATTTTTGGTTGTTTTATCTACTCTTGATCTATATGCATGAAATTTACATAATGAATATGTAGTGTCTGTTTTTAAAATGTTTTTAACCATTTAAAATAAAATCTGGAATTATTTAGGCTTTTTTGGGAGTCCTTTCATATGATTTGTTAAATAAGTAATTTAAGATGCAGAACACATATCCTGAATCAAATGGTATTCAGATAGTTATTTGAAACTATTTTTCAGTATGCAAGTCATTTAGATATAAATAACTTACTACAAGAATGACTATTAGGTGATATTTTTGGGGTTTGGTAAGATAATAAGTAAATTAGAGTATTGGCAGAAACCCAGTACAAGTTTCTGTATTCTAAATGATATTATCATCCTTAGGCAGAACCATTTGTAATTATTGGAATTTCTCAAAGGACTTTTAGAAAACTTGGTATTCGGCAGAAGTTAGAGATGAAAATTATCCAGCTGTACTTTAATAAATTATTAACACCAATTCTGAAAACATCTAGCTTTCCATTTTCATTAATTTACCACCCAACTTGTGAGAAATGTTTTATTGGTTCAGTATTCTAATTTATTTTGCCACAATTTTTACACATGCTATATTTTATTAATGTAAGAATAACATTTCAGTAAAACTATTTCTATTCTGATTGCCTAAGTCTTATTAATATATATTTTAATTGATACTTTTTATTTCAGAGATGATGGTAAAGAAGGTTTGAAGTTTTATACCAACCCTTCATATTTCTTTGATCTATGGAAAGAAAAAATGTTGCAAGATACAGAGGATAAGAGGAAGGAAAAGAGGAAGCAGAAGGTATTACAAGAGATTCAAAAAATTGAAGTTAGTTTTCGTGTATTTGTGCTTTGTTACATATATGGAACTTTATTAGATCTGTACTTTGACAGTTTTATTTTATTGGGTCCATACAGTCAAATACTAAAGCCTTTATAATTTCACAGAAAGATTACAGTCCAATTTGAGCAGGTGAGCAATTAGATTATTATAATGTGGTGTGAGAAGTGCCATAACAGAGGTATGCTTGGACGGTGTGAGTACACAAAATAGCGTTTGTTTAGAAGGACAGAGTGGGTAAACACTTGCAACAAAGCTTATAATATATCTTGAATAACAAATAGGAACTAAGTGGACCAGGGAAGAGAAGGGCATTCTGGAAAGAAGGAACAAAGGAATGTTGTGCAGATATTGGTAAAGCAGATTAAGCCAATATTTTCTAACCACGGAGCATATCCTAAATGTTTTGGAAAGATTATTCTCAATAAATTCCTGTTATCTGCTGTGTTGTCATTTTCCACTTTCTAATAAAATTCACTTGGATTTACTTTATTCCATGTTAATGATAACTAGAACTATAGAAGGAGGAAGCAATGTTGGCTTTAGGTAGAGTTATGAGGGAGGGAAAGTCGGTCTTCATCACCCCTGTTCTCCTGTAACTGTCTCTACTTTCCCCCTCTCCCCATAATGCCTTCCTGTTATTATCTTAATTAGACAGTATCCCAGTGTTCTAGCTGGAGTTTGCAAGCTGGCGACTGACAGTCCAAAGTTACACCTGCAAGCAGTGTTTTGTTTCATAGCCACAGTGGTCTTAAAAATTTTGAACTGGAATGCCTTAAATGGACATGCCTGTCCAGTTCACTGCCTTCCCTGTCTCATACCCTATTCTGTTCATTTATGAATGTCATCTGCTTGGCCTCTTTGAGCATTTGACTCTGTTGTACCTACTCTAGACCTTTCTGTGCTTTTTCCCATGATTTAAGAATTGATCCATTTTGATTATAGAAAGCAGAGGCTACTTCTGACAGGAACCAGGGGAGCAGTGAGTCGTATTGTGGCAATACCACTATTTGTGTTATCTTTCAAATACTCTGTTTCCTGTTGAGTGACACGGTTATAATGGATTAATTAGACAATTGGATTTTTACTAACATACATCGGCTAGCTAATTGATGACTTCCCAGATAAAATAACTTCAGTAAATTTTCAGGTTTTGGTTTGAGGTAGAGTGCCATTAATGGTAGAAATTTCACTCATAGGAAAAGCTAATAGATGTAGCAGAGTTGATGAATCATTTTCCATCTGAAAGGACTTTCTGACCTCAAATTTCATTACTTAGGCATACTATTTTTATCTGGTACATCAATTCCAATTAGAGATTAAAGAAACATGACAAGAAACTGAGATTACAAGCAAGCTAGCAAAGATTTAACTCTAAAAGTACAAATGAACTATGCCCGTGTTACTTTTGTTATATTATGATTACATTGCCTGTTTCAATATTGATGTTTGAATTTTATCTTGATTATTATAACCTCTTTTTAAAAACTTAGCACTTTAGCATTTGGCTTTGTTTCAATACATGTGTTACAGCAGAAAAATCTAGATCGTCCTCATGAACCAGAAAAAGTGCCAAGAGCACCACATGACAGGCGGAGAGAATGGCAGAAGCTCGCCCAAGGTCCAGAGCTGGCTGAAGACGATGCTAATCTCTTACATAAACATATTGAAGTTGCTAATGGCCCAGCCTCTCATTTTGAAACAAGGTTTCTTTTTCTTTTGTTTGTTTTTAAACAAAATTAATGATAAAATACTGGCTTTATTTCTAGTATCTATACCTGTAAGTGTTAGGTCCTGAACTGTTGAACTGGCAGGGCCTGTTATGGGTATAGAGATGATTCTAAAACACTGACCACTATAAGTCTACTGAAGGCTGATCCTGGGCAGATCACTGTCATACCTGGGCTTTGGTTTGGTCGTCTTTAGAAAGAGCTGGTTGGAGTAGATGACCTTCAGATGACCTTTCCTATGCAGTCTCAACTCCCTCTCAGTATTTCAAGCAGTCTGCTAGAATTCCATGATAGAGGAATGGGGTCTGGATTTTTTTTTTTGAAGTATTATTGAATTATATATCACTGTATATAAAATAGGAGTTGAGAAAGGGTTACATTTTGTTCCTTTTTCTTCACATCTTCCACCTCAGATATATCAGGACTTTGAAACAAAATTACTCATCCCTTTTTGCAAAAATGTAGAATAGGTCCTTTTCCTTTCTTAGTAGTTAGAGGCCCTATGTAAGTAACACACTACCCTAACATACTAGCATCTCTCTGTGAAAAAATTTATTTTTGTATAGTTGATTGGTTATAGTTATATATATATATATATATATATATATATATATATATATATATATATATATATATATATATATATANCCCAACTTGTGAGAAATGTTTTATTGGTTCAGTATTCTAATTTATTTTGCCACAATTTTTACACATGCTATATTTTATTAATGTAAGAATAACATTTCAGTAAAACTATTTCTATTCTGATTGCCTAAGTCTTATTAATATATATTTTAATTGATACTTTTTATTTCAGAGATGATGGTAAAGAAGGTTTGAAGTTTTATACCAACCCTTCATATTTCTTTGATCTATGGAAAGAAAAAATGTTGCAAGATACAGAGGATAAGAGGAAGGAAAAGAGGAAGCAGAAGGTATTACAAGAGATTCAAAAAATTGAAGTTAGTTTTCGTGTATTTGTGCTTTGTTACATATATGGAACTTTATTAGATCTGTACTTTGACAGTTTTATTTTATTGGGTCCATACAGTCAAATACTAAAGCCTTTATAATTTCACAGAAAGATTACAGTCCAATTTGAGCAGGTGAGCAATTAGATTATTATAATGTGGTGTGAGAAGTGCCATAACAGAGGTATGCTTGGACGGTGTGAGTACACAAAATAGCGTTTGTTTAGAAGGACAGAGTGGGTAAACACTTGCAACAAAGCTTATAATATATCTTGAATAACAAATAGGAACTAAGTGGACCAGGGAAGAGAAGGGCATTCTGGAAAGAAGGAACAAAGGAATGTTGTGCAGATATTGGTAAAGCAGATTAAGCCAATATTTTCTAACCACGGAGCATATCCTAAATGTTTTGGAAAGATTATTCTCAATAAATTCCTGTTATCTGCTGTGTTGTCATTTTCCACTTTCTAATAAAATTCACTTGGATTTACTTTATTCCATGTTAATGATAACTAGAACTATAGAAGGAGGAAGCAATGTTGGCTTTAGGTAGAGTTATGAGGGAGGGAAAGTCGGTCTTCATCACCCCTGTTCTCCTGTAACTGTCTCTACTTTCCCCCTCTCCCCATAATGCCTTCCTGTTATTATCTTAATTAGACAGTATCCCAGTGTTCTAGCTGGAGTTTGCAAGCTGGCGACTGACAGTCCAAAGTTACACCTGCAAGCAGTGTTTTGTTTCATAGCCACAGTGGTCTTAAAAATTTTGAACTGGAATGCCTTAAATGGACATGCCTGTCCAGTTCACTGCCTTCCCTGTCTCATACCCTATTCTGTTCATTTATGAATGTCATCTGCTTGGCCTCTTTGAGCATTTGACTCTGTTGTACCTACTCTAGACCTTTCTGTGCTTTTTCCCATGATTTAAGAATTGATCCATTTTGATTATAGAAAGCAGAGGCTACTTCTGACAGGAACCAGGGGAGCAGTGAGTCGTATTGTGGCAATACCACTATTTGTGTTATCTTTCAAATACTCTGTTTCCTGTTGAGTGACACGGTTATAATGGATTAATTAGACAATTGGATTTTTACTAACATACATCGGCTAGCTAATTGATGACTTCCCAGATAAAATAACTTCAGTAAATTTTCAGGTTTTGGTTTGAGGTAGAGTGCCATTAATGGTAGAAATTTCACTCATAGGAAAAGCTAATAGATGTAGCAGAGTTGATGAATCATTTTCCATCTGAAAGGACTTTCTGACCTCAAATTTCATTACTTAGGCATACTATTTTTATCTGGTACATCAATTCCAATTAGAGATTAAAGAAACATGACAAGAAACTGAGATTACAAGCAAGCTAGCAAAGATTTAACTCTAAAAGTACAAATGAACTATGCCCGTGTTACTTTTGTTATATTATGATTACATTGCCTGTTTCAATATTGATGTTTGAATTTTATCTTGATTATTATAACCTCTTTTTAAAAACTTAGCACTTTAGCATTTGGCTTTGTTTCAATACATGTGTTACAGCAGAAAAATCTAGATCGTCCTCATGAACCAGAAAAAGTGCCAAGAGCACCACATGACAGGCGGAGAGAATGGCAGAAGCTCGCCCAAGGTCCAGAGCTGGCTGAAGACGATGCTAATCTCTTACATAAACATATTGAAGTTGCTAATGGCCCAGCCTCTCATTTTGAAACAAGGTTTCTTTTTCTTTTGTTTGTTTTTAAACAAAATTAATGATAAAATACTGGCTTTATTTCTAGTATCTATACCTGTAAGTGTTAGGTCCTGAACTGTTGAACTGGCAGGGCCTGTTATGGGTATAGAGATGATTCTAAAACACTGACCACTATAAGTCTACTGAAGGCTGATCCTGGGCAGATCACTGTCATACCTGGGCTTTGGTTTGGTCGTCTTTAGAAAGAGCTGGTTGGAGTAGATGACCTTCAGATGACCTTTCCTATGCAGTCTCAACTCCCTCTCAGTATTTCAAGCAGTCTGCTAGAATTCCATGATAGAGGAATGGGGTCTGGATTTTTTTTTTTGAAGTATTATTGAATTATATATCACTGTATATAAAATAGGAGTTGAGAAAGGGTTACATTTTGTTCCTTTTTCTTCACATCTTCCACCTCAGATATATCAGGACTTTGAAACAAAATTACTCATCCCTTTTTGCAAAAATGTAGAATAGGTCCTTTTCCTTTCTTAGTAGTTAGAGGCCCTATGTAAGTAACACACTACCCTAACATACTAGCATCTCTCTGTGAAAAAATCCACTTTTTGACACTTTACCCATTTCCTTAGCTCTGTATTTTTTATATATATATATATATATATATATATATATATATATATAATAACTGATTTTTGAATGGAAAAGATCTGAAGGTTTTTTTTTTAATAATACATGTAAATTATTGGGCCATAAGTGTACAATATTGTGCCTCTTTTAGGAATAATATACATCTAAGACATTATTTATATGCATTACTGAAAAAAAGAGACTGAAAGAATTGAGAGTTTTAAAAAATTGATCATCTGTAGGCAAACATTTATTTCTGCTACCATTAAGTAATTGAGGTATTTAGCTGACCCAGTAGTGTAAATATATTATTTATAACTTGCTTTGTGCAAATTTTTTAAACCCAACTTTGTCCCCAGCATGCACTACAATCAGTAAATACATAATGTCTTCACATGCTCAGGGTACCTAAACTTTTGCTTTAAATCTGATCTTAAGTCACATGTTGCTATATTACTCTACATACTATGTTCTGAGTACCCTAGCACCTTTGAAAACACCAAAAAGATAAAAATGATGTAGTTAACCATCTCTGTGATGCTAGCTAGTGTCAGGGAAGCCTTTTTCCCTGGGTACAAGACACTTGAAAGTCATTTAGATTTAAGAGAGCAACAAGATATCTTGGTGGTAGAAAATTCCAGTTTACATATTCTAACTTTTTGTCATTGGCATCTTATTACAAAGAAGAAAGTGAAACGGGCAGATAGCTTTGAATACAATTTACTAAAAGTTAATTCTTTTCTTGTTTATAAGATTATATATGTAATACTTTTCATCCTTGTAAATTGAAGTAGTATTACATTATAAAATAACAAAATAACTGAAGATCATCATTAATGAACCTGAATCAGCAAGGAAAGTTTGCATTGTAAGCAGCATTTTTTGTTTTAAAAGCAGGATGAATGCAATAAATTCCTGAAAGAAGGTTCTTAAAAGTGTTTAAAATATTGGCATCCAAAGTATAAACTTGAAATATCTCATGTAGAACACTTTACTCCACCAATAATTCAAGAAAAATATACTGATACTGTGTATTTTTTTAGACCTCAGACATATGTGGATCATATGGATGGATCTTACTCACTTTCTGCCTTGCCATTTAGTCAAATGAGTGAGCTTCTGACTAGAGCTGAGGAAAGGGTCTTAGTCAGACCACATGAACCACCTCCACCTCCGCCAATGCATGGAGCAGGAGATGCAAAACCTATACCCACCTGTATCAGGTATGTTGGGACAAGCACTTGATGTTTTATCTCGGGTTGGTAACCTTTTTCTTTAAAGGCCCAGATAGTATGTATTAGGCTTTAGTGAGCATACATTTCTGCCACGACTACCTAATTTGGCCATTGTTGCATGAAAGCAGCCATGGACTATGTACATGATTAAACAAATATATTTCTGTTGAAACAAAATTTTATTTACAAAAAACAGGGAGTGGGTCAGATTTGGCCTGTGGGAGGTAATTTTCCAGCCTCTGATAAGAGCCAACACATTCTTCTGGGGAAATTTAAGGAGAATTTAAAGATGAACCTGTTTCGTTTTATTATAGCTTTATTATCAAGCATATGATGTGCAGTGTAGCAGGTCCTTGAATAGTGTTGTTTTGTTCAATGTCATTTAATGTTGTTGAGATGCCGTAGGAACTTAACTTTTGTTTGTATCAGTTAGCCTATGGTAAAATTGGTTTCATTATACATCATTTTACTTAAAGTTAGAGCCTATTGACAGTTTTAAGAGAGGACTTGCTGTATAGTAATACAAATTAAGAATTTTTATAATGTGGTAAGGGACTAAAAAATGGGAACCAAAGGTGTAATTATAAATGTTAATCTGATATTAGGGGAAATACTCTAAAAATTTGAGAGAGAATAGGCAATTCCTCATAATTTTCAGTAAAGCTATTTTGTAGTTTAATTTTGTCCATTGTTACCCAAATTATAAATTTTTAAAGAGAAATAGAGATCAGTTTTACAGTATTCAGTTAAAAATATCAATCTTCTGTCCGTGATTTATTTGCTCTTTCATCCTCAGGAAGGACGAGGGCTGTAAATTTCCTTTTGTGGTTTGTGATTAGTTGTCATTGATTTGACTGAAATGACATATGATGACTCTTGATATAATACAACATTATAAATATAGCATTGTGTTGGTCATAAGTATTGCTACAAATGTTGTAATGTGATAAATGATTAGCCATTACAAAGAATCATATCACTATGTAAAATTGAGCATTTTGCTTATCAAAGTAAGCATAAAATGCTTGAGTGAATCTGAAAGTTGCCTGAGGGTATGAGACCATTTAGAATTTTACAAACCAAAGTACCACTTGTTAATTTTCTTGGTGTGCTTTTAGTTATTTTATTCTAAATACTGGTGAAAAAATTTTAATTTCTATAGGAACATGTTAATGCATTTACCTTGATATAATTACCGATAGTCATTTATATTTTGTGTGGTTAATCTTTTCTCTTTTAATAACTTGCTAGGATCTCTTTATCATTTCAGTTCTGCTACAGGTTTGATAGAGAATCGCCCTCAGTCACCAGCTACAGGCAGGACACCTGTGTTTGTGAGCCCCACCCCCCCACCTCCTCCACCACCTCTTCCATCTGCCTTGTCAACTTCTTCATTAAGAGCGTCAATGACTTCAACTCCTCCCCCACCAGTGCCTCCCCCACCTCCACCTCCAGCCACTGCTTTGCAAGCTCCAGCAGTACCGCCACCTCCAGCTCCTCTTCAGATTGCCCCAGGAGTCCTCCACCCGGCTCCCCCGCCCATTGCACCTCCTCTAGTGCAACCCTCTCCACCGATAGCTAGAGCCACCCCCGTCTGTGAGACTGTACCCGTTCATCCACTCCCACAAGGTGAAGTCCAGGGGCTGCCTCCACCCCCACCACCGCCTCCTTTGCCTCCACCTGGCATTCGACCATCGTCACCTGTCACAGTTGCAGCTCTTGCTCATCCTCCCTCTGGGCTACATCCAACTCCATCTACTGCCCCAGGTCCCCATGTTCCATTAATGCCTCCATCTCCTCCATCACAAGTTATACCTGCTTCTGAGCCAAAGCGTCATCCATCAACCCTACCTGTAATCAGTGACGCCAGGAGTGTACTTCTGGAAGCAATACGAAAAGGTAATTTTCTCAGGGCCACTAAAACATTCTATTGTAACATTAGGAACTTTCTAAATATTTGAAACAATAATGTTTTCCTCATTTATAAAATTTTAAATGATCATGTTTTTACACAGATGGTCTTTACAAAATAAAGCTATGTTCAACTTATATTTTAAATCATTTTCAAGAAAACGTATCACATTATTACAGAAAATTAGTTAAAACCCTTTTTATTATGTTTAGTATGTATATTAACCCCTTAAAAAATCTCATTTTCTTCAAAGTGAAGGCTGTCCATTTGGTGTCTCAGTGACACTTGCTCTACCAGATGCCTTTAAAAGATTAAGTTTCCTCCCTTAGTAATAGAAAAAAAAACAACTTGACATATTTATTCATTTATTCAGTCAACACTTCCTAAAAACCTACTGTATTCCAGGCACTAATAATATAGAATGAATAAGAAGAGTGTTTTTTCCTCAAGTACCGGAGAGAATAAAGCCACAGAAAATATACTCAACGATGTTTATTTTATTTGATAATAATAGAGGTAACAGAAGAAAAGTATCATCTGGTTAACTTTTTAGGATTTGGTGAGCAGGGAGGCACAATAGATCATAATGGCTTAATAAACTGTAGATGTCCACTGGGGTATCGGGCAAGTTTCACCGACTAATATCACAGATGATAACGTAATGAAGAAATTAATGTCTCTCTAAATATGATTCCTTCAGATACTTTTTAATAGATCTTGATTTTTATTTTTCTGTTAGTATTTCTCATGTGTATTTGACTTTACTCCAGAAAGATTAATAATATCTACTGTGCAGTGTTTTGGTTTATAATGAATGGTTTGGATTTACTATATTAGGTATTCAGCTACGAAAAGTAGAAGAGCAGCGTGAACAGGAAGCTAAACATGAACGCATTGAAAATGATGTTGCTACCATCCTGTCCCGCCGTATCGCTGTGGAATATAGTGATTCAGAAGATGATTCAGAATTTGATGAAGTAGATTGGTTGGAGTAAGAAAAATGCATCGATAAATATTACAAAACTGAATGCAAATGTCCTTTGTGGTGCTTGTTCTTTGAAAATGTTTGGTCATTCCAGTGTTTTGCTTTCTTTTCCTTAAGATAAATAACCCGTTTTCCTCCATAATTTTTGATTTCTAAGAAAGATATTAGCATACATTTCAAACTAACGTTTTACAGTGGCTTATCTTTTTTATTTTTCCCTGAAAAGACATAATTTGGTCAAATAAACCACTAAGTATTAAGCATGGACAGCTGTTGTTAGAGTAGCAGATTCTGTTTTTTGATATATCTTAATTGTGCACTTTGTGAATTTAATTTAAAGAAAGCAACTAAGATTGAAATCTTGAGGGCAGCTGTATCTATTAATGAGCCTTATTCCATTTCTTGATGTTTTAAAAGAAGAAACACTGCCTTGAATATATGAATACACTCAGAAAGTACATTTAGCTTGTAGTATTGAATTCTCTTAAAGGAATGCTTGAATTTTTTTTAATTATTGTTTTATTGTTTTTAAATATTTGCCTTATTTGAATGTTTAGCAGCACCCCCTCCCCACTTATATATTGTGTGGTATGATTTTGCTTGCCTATAAAGAATTTAAAATATTTCCATGTGAAATACTCTGACATAAACATACATGTAACTTACATAACTGTTAAGAACAGTCTGATTTAATAAATGGTTCATTTTAAAGGTTAATGGGTGTTGTTCTTTGAATAAAACTATTTCTGAGAGTTTATCAAAAGTTTACTTAATACATAGGTAGTAAACGAAGATTTAAAAAACCACTTATGCTGTGTAATTTCCTCTTAATTGTACAGATTCATATTGTCTAGTGTGTAGGATAACTTTTACATCATTTTTCCCACTGAGGTCACAAGATCAGTATTTTTCAACTCCTTATGCTCTTAAATTAAAATCTCAACTTGCTGTCTAATTTCAGCACTTCTTGGCTTCATTTTAACGTCATTCTTGAAGTTATATTTTGCAATGATAAAATGAGTTGTTAATATTTACACAGTCCAGATTCAGGGGTGGAGGGGAAGCAGCATTAGTATCAGATTATTTAGTGTGAAGAAAAGACTAAATGAGGTTTTGGTAGCTTGACTGTAAAAGTAACTGCAGTCTTTATCCTTGCCTCTATCTGCTCCTTTTGCAATGCAATTTCTAGTTCCTCCCATCAGGAGATGGGTTCTAATTCACCACCTTGAATCTGAGGCTTGTTTTGGCCTATAAGCATATGGCAAAAGTGGGCTCAGGCTAGCCTGCTAGAAGATCAGAAACCTCATGCAGAGAGCCCAGTGAGGCTGTGTTAGACCAGCCAAGCGCGAGCTCATCTGCTGCCTGACAATAGACAGATGAACAAGCCTAGTAGCTAACATTAGCCCAGCCCAGGAGAACTGGTCAGCTGACCCATAAACTCATGAGTTAAAATCCATGCTTATTGTCTTACACCTAAGTTCTGAGATGGATCATTTCACATAGCATTATTGTGGCAATAGATAGCTAATACATGTGGTCATTGGTAACTTGATAATTTGGTGGTTATTTAGGCAGATAAGTAATGACGTGTAATCCTTGTATAATAGGAATGATGAACTACCGGCAAGTTCTATTGTAACAATACAGTTTGTACATAAAAAACATTCCCTCATGGCTCTAATAAAAAGATTCGCTTTGCTCTTTTGGTAGCTTTGCCTAGAACAAAAGATTGCACAGCCATTTGAGATTTCTTTCCAACCTTACAAAAGTGTAGTGTTAAATTTAACTCAAGGAAATATGGCACAATTTAAAGTTTTCTTTCTAAGTGTGCTTATGGTTAGGTGGCAGTAGCTAGTAGATAGTTTTTATATAAAGCTCAGTTTTGTAGCTAGATAACTGAAACTTAATGGTACTGGAATTGGAGCAGTTAAGGGTGATACAAAAGGAAGTGGTTGAAGATTTCTTAATACTAGAGGTGGATTTTTGGAAAGCCTGGAAGTATGTATCCTAGTATATGATAGATTTTGTTTGTTTTTTACAACATTCCTGGAAGATGAGAAAGTGCCCACAGACTGAAGAGGCCATGTTTCAGAATAGATATTCGAGTTAACTTGCTGAGAGAATTTCATTGAAATAATTCATTCAGTGGTCAATTTTAATACCCTAGGAAGAATGAAAGTTACTGGGTAATGACTCTCTTTTTCTCATTGAATTATGTTACTATTCCACGAGCTGGTGCATAAGCATAGAGTCAGAAAAAATGGATTGTGTATCATGGGGAAATAATCGGCTTTATTTGTTTTGGTTGAAGTCACCCATTTACCTCCATACTAACAAATCCAGTGAACACTTTAGTCCTTAATTTATTTGACCTTTATTCTGTGTATACTCTACCTCCTTGAAGCTGTCAATCCCTCTGGCATCTGTGTGTGTGTGTGTGTGTGTGTGTGTGTGTGTGTGAGAGAGAGAGAGAGAGAGAAGGAGGGGGAGGGGGAGGGGGAGGGGGGAGGGAGAGACTGCCTTCCCCTTCCCAATAATGGGACAGAAAGAAGGGAAGGGAAATAGTGGCAATAGAGTTTGGGATGAAACTCAAAGTCATTGTGGAGGGAAGGGGAGTGTGTCTAACTTTCCTTAAGTGAGGGATGTTTGTAAGCTGCAGATTTATGAGGCATTTTAAGCTATAACCACTGCTTTTTATGATTAATCTATTTGGGCAGATGAGATGACTTCTGAAGCATTTTCACCTTATAAATATTTATTAAAAGATAAATAAGAAAAATGTTCATTTGGGTTGTATTCTGTAAATTATGAAACACCTCCCTTTATTTCCACTTAGAAAGCCCTGCCCTTTCTTCAACAACCATCTCACATCCATATTTTCATAAAGCCTCCGGTCACAACAGAAGTTCATATTCCTTTTCATTTTATTATAAGCTTTCTTCAAGAGATACTTATATCATTTTGCATCAGTTATTTACCTATTCGAGTTTGACAAATAGATTATTCATAAGACAGCCAGGGGACCTTGTCTTAAATTGGCAACTCATAATATTTCTTATAAACAGGTCCAAAAATACCTTTTTATTCTGTCCAGCAGGGCTCTTAAAAATTATATCTTCCTAGACACTGCTTCTGTTTAAAAAAATTATCCCCACTATTTTCAGTAACATAATTGACCTAAAACTTGTCCTAATTTCATCAAAACTCTTCAAGTGTGTGTGTGTGTGTGTGTGTGTGTGTGTGTGTGTGTGTGTGTGTGTAATTTAAGAATTGACTTTTTTTGGCCAAAAGATAGGTATTAATATTTTGGAAGTAATTTTTTAAGACAGAGTAAAATTGATCAAGTTGTTTTAATTTAATGGAAGTTCTCATGAATTACTTTCAAAACATAGCTTTATCTTTGCCCTTAGTAAACATACTACTGCTGTTTTATTTTTTGCATTTTCACTATGTATTTATCTCGACTCCAGCTTTTAAAAAAACTATCTCACAAAACTGGAGCAGGTATAAAATAAATTATTTAAAGCTCCTAAATATAAATAGTTCAAGAATTTTTTTTTGAAGTTCGTGATTTCTGTATCATCCACTTAATAAAAAGATGTAAACGAATAAATGCAAGATATTAATTATGCAATATCATGATTTAAAGATCGCTTTGCTGTGTTGAACTAATGAAAGTGGTATTTTTAAATTGTGTCATATAACTGTAATTAATAGAAATCATTCTACTAAAGCCACACAGAAGGCATAGGAGCCTTGTAATACAAAGAATAAGTCTTTTCCTCCCTTTATTCATTGCTGTACTAAGAACAAATTTATTTATGTTCTCCATGACTTGGCTGTAGAATACATCAGTGATCTCTGTTGCTTTTCAAGCCTGACAACCAGGCTCTGAATAAAGAATGAATACCAGCCTTGAATGAACATTTCAGGCACTTTTTTTTTTCTTTTTTTTTACAGGCTAGTTATCAATACCTTTTTTCTCATTATTGTAAGACCAGCTGCTCTGACTTTTTTTCTTTAGAAAAATTTAAACACTGAGCATGTGTTGAAGTCATCTTCCTCAGAATATTTATAGTTTCTGCTCTTTCCTATAATGGACAAATTTTTTAGTGAAAAAGTATTTTATTGTATACATAAATATGTTTCTGTGTATGTGTGTGTGTTATACCCAAAGATTTCTTGATACATTTCTATTTATCCATCCTGCCTTTAGGCTACCTTTTCCAGTCTACAATGCCTGATACAGGATATTGATGTCTGCAGGAGTAATAAAATTTCCCATCTATTTTTTCTGGCCTGGAAACAATCTAGAAGACACAAGAGCCATGAAATCACAACTTGTCTTCTATTGTAACCCCTTCTAATATTTTTTCAATGTATTTTATTTTTTTAAAGATTTTTTTAAATTAAAATATAGCTAACACACAATATTATATTAGTTAAAGGGGTACACCATAGTTAATCATTTATATACCTGAAGATGTTATCACCATAAGTCCAGCAACCATCTGACACTGTACCATGCTGTCACCATATTATTGACTATATTCTCCATGCTGTACATTACATCCTCATGACTTATTCGTTTTATACCTGGAAATTTGAACCTCTTATTCCCCTCACCTCCCCCCTTAAAAAAAATCTTAATTACAGTTGACATTTCATATTATTTTATATTGATTTTAGTACCCACCTGGCACTGTACATAGTTATTACCATATTATTGACTATATTCCCTATGCTGTACTTTACATTCCCATGACTTGTAACTCCCACTTTGTACTTCTTAATCCCTTCACCTTTTTCACCCTGCCCCCAACCTCCTTCCATCATCCCAATAAACCTAATACACATCTAACACCAAACATGGTTATTACAATATTATTGACTATATTCCTTATGCTATAACCTACATCCCCGTAACTACTTTGTAACAACTGATTTGTACGTCTTAACCCCTTCCCCCTTTTTCACCCTGCCCCTAGCCCCCTCCCATCTATCACTCCAACCAATGTACTACCAATATGACACCATATAGAGTTACTACAGTATTGTTGACTATATTCCTTATGCTATAATGCTACATTACTGTGTAACAAATGAGTACTTCTTAATCCTTTCCCCTTTTTCACTCACCCCTGACCCCCCTCCCATCTGGCAACCATCAATATGCTTTTTGTATACATTAGTTTCTGTTTTGTTTATTTTGTTATTTAGATTCACGTATAATCAAAATCACCTTGCATCTGTCTTTCTCTCCACTCAGCACAATACCCTCCAGGCCCATCCATTCTGCCACAGAGGGCAAGAACCCATTCCCTTCCATGACTGAGCAATATTCCATTGTATATATGTACTACCTCCTCTTTATCCATTCATCCAGGCTGCAACGAACATATGGATGCATACATCCCCTCAAAGTAGCATTTGGGTTTCTTCAGATAAATTACCCTGAAGTGGGATTACTGGGTCCTTCTTTGTCTCTTGCTAGGCCTTTGTTTTAAGGTCTATTTTGTCTGGTATAAGTATTGCTACGTTAGTTATTTTTCTGTTTGTTTCCATTTTCATGAAATAATTTTTTCCATCCCTTTCTGTCTGTGTGTCTTTCAATCTGAAGTGATTCTCTTGTAGGCAGCAACTATAAGGGTTTTGTTTTCTTATCTATTCAGTCCCATGTCTTTTGAGTGGAGCATTTAGTCCATTTACATTGAGAG